CTGTCTGTATAGAAGGATCTGTTAAAGGTGTACCAGCCTTGGTCTGTATAGAAGGATCTGTTGTAGGGAGTAGGGGGATCAGCCTCTGTCTGTATAGAGGCTTTGTTGCAGGAGTATCAGAATCTGTCTGTATAGAAGGATCTGTTAAAGGTGTACCAGCCTCTGTCTGTATAGAAGGAACTGTTGTAGTTGTACCAGCCTCTGCCTGTATTGAAGGATCTGTTGCAGGAGTACCAGTCTCTGCCTGTATAGAAGGATCTGTTGTAGGGAGTAGGGGGATCAGCCTCTGTCTGTATAGAAGGATCTGTTAAAGGTGTACCAGCCTTGGTCTGTATAGAAGGATCTGTTGTAGGGAGTAGGGGGATCAGCCTCTGTCTGTATAGAGGCTTTGTTGCAGGAGTATCAGAATCTGTCTGTATTGAAGGATCTGTTAAAGGTATACCAGCCTCTGTCTGTATAGAAGGAACTGTTGTAGGTGTACCAGCCTCTGCCTGTATGGAAGGATCTGTTGCAGGAGTACCAGCCTCTGCCTGTATAGAAGGATCTGTTGTAGAGAGTAGGGGGATCAGCCTCTGTCTGTATAGAAGGATCTGTTAAAGGTGTACCAGCCTTGGTCTGTATAGAAAGATCTGTTGTAGGTACCGGCCTCTGTCTGTATAGAAGGATCTGTTGTAGGTGCAGCAGCCTCTGTCTGTAAAGAAGGATCTATTGTAGGTGCAGCAGCCTCTGTCTGTATAGAAGGATCTGTTGTAAGTGCAGCAGCCTCTGTCTGTATAGAAGGATCTGTTGTAGGTGCACCAGCCTCTGTCTGTATAGAAGGATATGTTGTAGTAGTACCAGCTTCTGTCTATATAGTAGGATCTTTTTGCAGGAGTACCAGCCTCTGTCTGTTTAGAAGGAGAAGGTCAGCTACCATCAATAACGCTTATGTCCGACGTTGGAATCGATAGCGGTCTGACATCTCCTGCCCATGGAAGAGACGAGTATGCGAATCACATCCTGGGGAATGGTAGCCCACTCGGCCTGCAACGCAAAAGCCAACTGCTGCAACGTCTGGGGTTGTGGTTGACGTCGGCGTAGCCTTCTATCCAATTCATCCCACAGGTGCTCTATCGGAGGATCTGGTGGGCCAGGGTAGGACATCAAAGCACGTTATTGTGTAGACAGGCTCTTGTGATCCGTGCTGTATGCGGTCTAGCGTTGTCCTGCTGGAATACACCGTTGCCGTTGGCTCCAATTGAGAGGATGTGTGGTAGAATTTCGTTGATGTATCGTTGAGCCGTAAGATTGCCCTGGATATGGACCAAACCTGTCCTGCCATGATGAGAGATAGCCGCCCAAATCATAAAGCTACCCCCACCAAACCTATCCTGTACGCAGTTTCCGGCGTAACGTTCTCTCCGACGTATGTTTATCCGTGATCTTCCATCCCCTCGACGGAGGAGAAATCTTGATTCATCGCTGAATCTCCATCGCAGTTGAGGCCACACCCTGTGTTGACGACACCAATGCAGTTGTTGTTGGAATGTTGTCGACTCAATATGACGTGTCGAACAGGACGTCTTGCTCGTAGACCTGTTGCTCATAAACAGTTTCGTACTGTCTGATCGGAGATTCTGAGCAGTCCGGGTATTTGTGATGCGGTTGAGGTGGCTATGGTCGTCCTTTCATGTAGGTAGCGCAGTCTGATGTAGCGATCTTGATCGGAGGTGGTTTCTCTTGGTCGTCCCGACTTTGGCCGATAACCTGTTGACACATGCTGTTGAAACCGATCCCATAGCCTTGTGACGGTGCTGGCGGCTACATTGAAAACCCTGGCTACAGCTGATCGGGATTCCCGTACCTGCAAGCGGCCTATGACGTTGTTTCTTTGTACTTCTGTTAATCTTGGCATGTTGTTGAACTGTCACTGTTCGATTGACGCAGATGCCAGGCAATCAAAAACCCTGCACTTAAATATCGTTCATAGTGCTGTTGCACATGCAGTGCATGCAGCTCCATGTCCCTGCTGTTAACGCACTGGGTGCGGGTTTTTTCGAATCGTACATGTTTCCACACTAATGGTTTGCATGACCTTGAGATCATTTTGATCCGGGACATTGTCACTGACACTATAACACATGAAACCTCTTCATTTTGCATCCCTTGGTCCCCTAATTTTGCTTCTTTGGCCATAAAGATCCTTATTGCGTTTCTGTTTTTGAAGAGTATATTACCAAGCATCAATTTTACATTCTGTTCTCTTTCCAACATATTAGCAGGCATCAGCATCACATTCTGTCCCCGGCAGTCCTTTCGTGCGCACTGACGTTCTTTAGTACACATTGTTCTTTCTTTTCATATGACGTCTTTTCGTAACATTTGATCGTTGTATTGCGTACTTTTGACCATTATTTCAACTTTGTATTTTTTAAACGACGTCTGTTTGTTTTGCATTTTGACCTTTATTAGTAACATTTAATCCTTTATTCGTAACATTTGACTATTATTGCGTACTTTTGTCCTTTATTTCAACTTTGTTTCTTTTTAACGAATGGCCGCCCATATATGTGCACGTTGTAATAATTTATACATTATCTCTTTTGGCCTGTGGTCTTTGAATATTGATGCTAATGACTGTAACGTTTCCGTGGTAACATATCAACACTTGCTGACGACCTGGCTTATGCGTGCTAGGCTAGAATCACGCCTCTGGTCGTGTCACGCCATCACTCGTGTGTATTGGTTTAACAAAGAGCACAGAGCAATTTGGAAACTACTTGCACTAATCATCTTCAGATATCAGGCAAAAGTCGACGCCAGTTAATTACGCTGAGCTACATAGAAGCAAGTTGTTGCCGATCACATCTTCAACGCCACATACTATTGAACACATCACCATTCCTCCCCAAACTGTGTATTGTTTACTCTGACCGCAACAACACGTGTGATGCATCAGACAAATTGGTTTAAATTAAAGCCAAAAAGAGTATTACTTATTCAGCGTTAGAAACTAACAGTTTTCACCCACTAGTCCTTATAAAGATAACATATAGCAAAACTCTTAAATATGGAAATTTTCTACTAGTCCTTGTGATACCTTTACCATTGGGCAGTTTGGCAAGGTCTATAGGACTAGTGCCAATTTCTAACCCTGCTTATTTCACTGGAAGTCACATACCACACAGCGAGTACACCCTCAATGAAAACACATGGTGTCAGTACAGAATCAGACCATGTCCTCAGTATCTCATTCTTCTGGTGACACCCGGCAAAACCGAGGACAGGGTGGTCATCGTGTGTCACCGTAACCAAAAGTGTGGGACGTGGATTATGATGATTTGCCTGGTCCAGACTCGATATAGCTCACACTTATCCTCCTATTAGTTTCACATGCTTTAGCATATGAATTTAACATGTCACTTTATCATGCTCTAAGATTCTACCCCTTCAAAGTTTAGTGCATTTAATGTACCGGACAAGAAACGTACATGTTGGACGTGTTGTAATAGATTATTTCTAGGCATAATATTGCTGAACTGCCAAGGCGGGCTTTTACCCATACCTCTCCACAATAGAACACATCTGGGATGCGATACAGCGACGCCTACGACAGGTCCTGAGCCAGTAGGTTACGCTAGCTCAGTTGCGCCAATCTTCCCCCAGGCTGTTTTCAATCATCTGGTTTCTTCAAAGCATGTCGCTGCCACGCCTGTATCAGGGCAAATGGTGATCACAACACGATATTGACATTGTTTATTGAGTTGTTACACCACCCCTCTTTACATCCCATCTCCTGTTACCATGCAGGTATGGGTTTTGTCAATGAATTAGTTATGATAAAACATTGATCAGACGAATGACCAAATATTATGAAGTTATTTTCAATAACATAGCATTTACACCTCTTTATATGATGCCTAGTTACTTTGTCCCGTTAGTATACTTCATTGTGGCTTTATAGTTGTTTATGGAATTTGACCTAGGATCAGAAACAACCAGTCCCCCTGACTATCTTGGAAATGATGTATTCGAGTATGCGCGGCAACTATCAAACAATCGTTATCACTGTTAATAATTCTAAGAGTACTACCTCTATCACATCAGGTGTAATCCCAACCACCCAGCCCAATTAACAGCAACTATTTGGATGGGGGGTTTTCCTGCCTGGCCTATGCACAGAACAATGGAGAAAAACTATTATCCACACTACTAATTAAGGTCAGCTGATAGTGAAGAGGACTTCTGTTGAAATCTAAAGGTTTTTGGTGTGATGAGAGCCAAACTACAGGATTATGGCAATGAAGTAATAGAGGTATGGTATTCGCAGGAATACGTTAATTGTGTAAACTCATCGCATTAGTATAAGCCTACAGAAGCTTCTTGGAAGTGATCAAGGTTGGATTTTCTACCTCCACCAGATATTTTTACTTCCTGAAAGTATCTTCTGTGCAGCGCTTGTCTCCTGTACACACATACTACCATCTATCCATGAAGAAGAAAACATCATTCATCTTTGGGGGAAGCCATCACTTATTCTATAGGCACCAGTACAAATATTGCGTCAGTTACATTGAGGCAGAGTGATGCCATTGTAAAATCTCTTTGCACAAATTCCGCCTGGTCTTAGGTTGTTCCTAAATGTCTGTTTTGTGAGTGTATAGCCACTCTGTAATGATCTAGTGACACAGTGTTGACATGGAACCTCCATGGCCTAGGACAATCAATTGTGTCATGTTCTTGATATCATGCCCACAATCTCAATATTGTACTCTAGGACACTGGACAATGTCTAGCCAAAATAAAAAAGCCCTACAATACCGTACCTACATGTTATAGCATACAGGACAATGGAAAAAATCATATTTTGGGGTAAAATCTCAGCAACAAGGTTCAGAACAACCAAAATAATGGTTGACAGCCAGCCATATGTATATGTCAAGTCTAGTGGCTGTAGTTTGAGGTCGTTAACAGGTTTTTTGTTTCCTTCCAGCATAACAGAACAATGTTTTTTTTCAACATTTTTAATGGTATTAAAAGTATAAATAAAAGTTGAGAACAGGATCTACAAAAAACAAACAACAAATTTGAAAATCACTATCATCACAGATTATTCCTGGACCAGGGAATCATGTGGCATCTCCTGGCATAAGACAATCACATGGCAACTCCCACTTGATTGCATCCTCAGCTTTTCTCACCCTCAATGGGCCATCACACGTATTTCCTGCCTTACAATGGAGATTAATACTTCATAGTTTTGAGCTGCAAAAACTACCAAAAATAATGTTTTTCACTTTGGAGATTTGGAAAAATCGACAAACTGCCTTTCTTTTTCACTCTCTTTTGTTGGCATGGTCTAGACCGAGTGTCACTTGTAAAATGGATCTTGAATACCCATGAACTGTATTATTTAGAGCCTTCCCTTTGAATCTATAATTGGCAGCAATGAGAAACAAAAGATTTACCTTATCCTACGAATCTAGTTACTTCTAATCAAACCTATAACTGTTTTTAAACATGAAAATGTGAAGGAGCCGTGCCAAGCCAATGTCCTGAACTCTACACTCACTCATTTTCCCTACAACACAGTACACTGCTTGGCAGACAGGTAGAGGGTTCCTACTAATACTGTAGGTATAATTCAGAGTGGCCTGTAAGGATTGGAGTCTGGACAAGACCAAGAACTAGTGAACAGTGCCCATGCCTTTTGCCACACCCATTGTGACTATGAAAATTCTGTTGTTTCATTTGGCTCTAATACATGGCATGCATTTCAGGGCCTATTCTAGCCTGGAGTCATCCTGGTACTTGGCTTACCACACCAGCACAGGAGACTAGTCTAGTGGTCAGACACTAGCGCTGAAGGAGGGTAGTGGTCAGACACTAGCGCTGGAGGAGGGTAGTGGTCAGACACTAGCGCTGGAGGAGGGTAGTGGTCAGACAAAATCGCGGAAGGAGGGTAGTGGACAGACACTAGCACTAGGGAGGGTAGAGGTCAGACACTAGCGCTGGAGGAGGGTAGTGGTCAGACAATAGCGCTGGAGGAGGGTAGTGGTCAGATACTAGCGCTGGAGGAGGGTAGTGGTCAGACACTAGCGCTGGAGGAGGGTAGTGGTCAGACAATAGTGCTGGAGGAGGGTAGTGGACAGATGCTAGTGCTAGAGGAGGCTAGTGGTCAGATACTAGCGCTGGAGGAGGGTAGTGGTCAGACACTAGCGCTGGAGGAGGGTAGTGGTCAGACAATAGCGCTGAAGGAGGGTAGTGGTCAGACACTAGCACCAGGGAGGGTAGTGGTCAGACACTAGCGCTGGAGGAGGGTAGTGGTCAGACAATAGCGCTGAAGGAGGGTAGTGGACAGACACTAGCACTAGGGAGGGTAGTGGTCAGACACTAGTGCTGGAGGAGGGTAGTGGTCAGACAATAGCGCTGAAGGAGGGTAGTGGACAGACACTAGCACTGGAGGAGGGTAGTGGTCAGATACTAGTGCTGGAGGAGGGTAGTGGTCAGATACTAGCGATGGAGGAGGCTAGTGGTCAGATGCTAGTGCTAGAGGAGGCTAGTGGTCAGACACAAGTGCTGGAGGAGGGTAGTGGTCAGACACAAGTGCTGGAGGAGGCTAGTGGTCAGATACTAGCGCTGGAGGAGGCTAGTGGTCAGACACTAGTGCTGGAGGAGAGTAGTGGTCAGACACTAGCGCTGGAGGAGGGTAGTGGTCAGACACTAACGCTGGAGGAGGGTAGTGGTCAGACACTAGTGCTGGAGGAGGGTAGTGGTCAGACACTAGCGCTGAAGGAGGGTAGTGGTCAGATACTAGCGCTGGAGGAGGCTAGTGGTCAGACACTAGCACTAGGGAGGGTAGTGATCAGACACTAGCGCTGGAGGAGGGTAGTGGTCAGATACTAGCGCTGGAGGAGGGTAGTGGTAAGACACTAGTCCTGGGGGAGGGTAGTGGTCAGACAATAGTGCTGGAGGAGGGTAGTGGTCAGATACTAGCGCTGGAGGAGGGTAGTGGTCAGACACTAGTGCTGGAGGAGGCTAGTGGTCAGACACTAGCGCTGGAGGAGGGTAGTGGTCAGACAATAGCGCTGAAGGAGGGTAGTGGACAGACACTAGCACTAGGGAGGGTAGTGGTCAGACACTAGCGCTGGAGGAGGGTAGTGATCAGACAATAGCGCTGAAGGAGGGTAGTGGACAGACACTAGCACTGGAGGAGGGTAGTGGTCAGATACTAGCGATGGAGGAGGCTAGTGGTCAGATACTAGTGCTGGAGGAGGGTAGTGGTCAGACACTAGTGCTGGAGGAGGGTAGTGGTCAGATACTAGTGCTGGAGGAGGCTAGTGGTCAGACACTAGCGCTGGAGAAGGGTAGTGGTCGGACACTAGTACAGGTACATGTTATTACTGTTGACTGTAGAAATTCCAAATGTAAGGAACAAAACAGACTTTTTGTTGAAAAAGAAATATGAAAATAGAAGGAATGAGTATATTATGTACTGCTGAAACAGACTTGCAATCATATCTTTGAATTACTGCTTTAATCTAATCAAATAAGTCTTGATCACAAATATGAAGTATGCTATAAGTACACTTTGATTAATTAGAAATCACTGGAAATACTCTTACAAAATATGTCAGCAAAATTTGTCATGAAAGGGACATTTTACAACACAATACAAAATACTCTTCTCGGAAAAATAGAAAATTGTATCACTTTTAAATAAAGCAGCTGAAAATAGCAGTTTTCATATGACTCTTTTCAAGACAATGGATGACAACAGATCAACAGTGCACTGTTAGTGAGACCAGCTGGCCCACATGCGGCAACACTGTTCTCTACTGGCAAGTAGGGACACTCAATGTAACCTTAATAACTTGTCTATACTCTGATTAAAGAGTCTGGAGAACTTGCATGAATACAACATAAGGTCTGGCACAATTTGGCTGAAGTTAACGTCAGCTAATTTTAGCATTTCCCCAGAACAGCCTTACAGTGCAAGGGAGATAATCCTTGGAAACATTTCACCTCCAAAGTTTTATAAGAAAATAAATATACTTGAATATGATACCATCATAATATGACAAGAACTGAATACAGCAATTGAAATATTTGAAACTTCTTTACAAACAACAGATAAACACTGATGTAAAATTATTGCAAAATTGAAGATACACTGCTCAAATGATACTACTCCTCCTGATTTAAAATTCCTTGGAAAAGCTTTCATAAAAATAAAACATATTGACATGCCGAACACAGCATGGTCAACCCTGTTGAGCTAGCCCCATCCAAGTGGAAAATGTGAGACCCAGGGAGCACAAGTAACTTATTGCTACAGGCAAACTCAGGATTACACAGCACTAAAATATGCCCCTCTTTTGACAAAATCATAAATAAAGTAAAATGACTACAGCTGTAACTGTGTGATGTGACCACTGCATGTCGGGTGTGTGACAGATACAGATCATACACTAGCAACATAAAACACTAATCTAAAACAAAGTCTGCAATTATGAAAATAATTCTAACAAATAATTAACAAAACCAAGAAAAATACAACAGCACTGATCCTGATTGCTAACCAGATAAGAAATGTCAGTTATGTAATTGACACATGCAGAAACGATGATATCACTGACTATACATATGAACATGGTCAAAAGGGAGGAATAACAATATATTCTGAGACATGTACAACAATGATAAAAAAGAGCCTTTGCATAATAATAATGTTGAGGTTCATGCTAGATAGTATTTAGCCCAGATGCATATATTTTCTGGTCTTGTGGACAAGCATACCCTAAATTTTGAACAGTTTCCTAAAAAATATAATTAAAAAAGATTAATACCTCCTGTATGCTTTGTTTGATGGAAAATACTTTAAAAAAATATATATCGTTTTGTTTTTAAGAAAACATATTATAAGCTGAAGAATGTAAAACAAGACATGAAAAAAGGCTGTTTGTCATCATTTGTGCTTCAACATTCAATGGGAAATGCCCTAGACAGGCTGCCTGAAAATATCTTAGGAAACGTGTTTTACATTAGGATCTAAAATACTGATTCAATGTTTAAGGCAAGGCACATTCACTGACATAAAATCTAAGATTTAAAATAAAAATATGTCAGTCTTAACAAAATGATTTTTTGTAATGATATCATGAATATAATTCATAAATTGAAATTAGTTACCCATATACTGGTAAAATCAAGGAGTTCAGTGAAAAAATTACACCATGAGCAGCAGTCCCTACCAAGCTTATGACATGTACTAGTCAGTCCTGCTGCCATGTACTGGTTAATCCAAGCTGTAAACCTTATCTACCACATGGACACACATGCTCAGTAACCCCCAATTACTTTGTCTGTGACATTTACCTTCATGTCGCACTGAGAATAGTTTTAATGTTGGATGATTTGTCCTCATTGCTATGAGGATGAGATATTGTTGATGCGACCTTGAGAAGTCAGTTAGGGAAATGAGACAGAGCATAAAATAATACCAAGATATTTCGTGTGGTTTTCTATCTGGTTAAGGATGTGGTTTTCTGGAGAGTCCCAGATATACCACCAGCTGACAGCTTCAACCATATAGCACTGTCAATGCTACATAAACAGTATAGCATTCTCTTGGAGCATGATTTATCTTTGATCAGATCATGACAATTCTCTCTAATCACACCTCCAACCCTCAAGAGTTTGAAAATACATAAATATTTGAGATTTTCTTCATTAACACTTTCAGCAATTTCCATGAGCCAATCCTAATACTTACTCTAAATCCGCCCCCAACATCCCGCTTTAGATACAGCAGGAAACACTGTACACGTCTCTACTCACACAGCAGGAAACACTGTACACGTCTCTACTCACACAGCAGGAAACACTGTACACGTCTCTACTCACAGCAGGAAACACTGTACACGTCACTACTCACACAGCAGGAAACACTGTACACGTCTCTACTCACACAGCAGGAAACACTGTACACGTCTCTACTCAAACAGCAGGAAACACTGTACACGTCTCTACTCACAGCAGGAAACACTGTACACGTCTCTACTCACAGCAGGAAACTGTACACGTCTCTACTCACACAGCAGGAAACACTGTACACGTCACTACTCACACAGCAGGAAACACTGTACACATCTCTACTCACACAGCAGGAAACACTGTACACGTCTCTACTCAAACAGCAGGAAACACTGTACACGTCTCAAATCACACAGCATCTCCACCCCCACAAACTACATCGACAAACAGTTCCCTATGTTATCAAGTTTTCATTGAGAGGATCCATTCAAACTATAGCAAGTGATAAATAAAGGATTATATATGTATCAGAAAATTGAATAAGAAAATACAATAATGCTTTGATATATGTATGACTCAGTATTGGGACGGAATCCCTCCCAAAGATACAACAGACTAGCTCTACATATCATGTGTATCCTGACCTTGGGGAAACACACACAACTTTGGTTGGCAGCCCGTTTGCACCAAGCTGTACAAACGACACAATCCATCTTTGTAGTCAGCTCAAAAACAGTTGTTCTTATCAAACAATAAATAATTTGTTGCGAAAAATACATATCTGATTGTATATATGTATACTATAGGTACTTCAAGGAAATACTCTAACAAGAAATGTGAAGCGTTGACTGGATGATGAGCATTGTTTAGTTGACAAATGTAGATGTATACTTGTATCTCACAAGACACATGAATGAAAACATGTACCTCAACACAGTATGCCTCTTATCATTACTTTGTCCAAAATACATAGCAAACAAAAAATGAGACCTGCAAGAGTTTAATTTCAGCTTGTTAATCTGTCAACCCTGATCAAGTGTTGAGCACGACCAGATTGTGTTTCTATGCCTACAAGTAATGATGATGACACAACAAACTGACAACTTGCTCTTCAGAAAAGAAACCTTTTCAAGTACTGGTAAGCACTTTGCCGGTAAGGATAAGGAACAAGCTACTTATATTTTACCATTGTCTGTGGTAGTTACTGAATTTCAGCATTTGATACAAGTATTAACATTTCCCCAGAATAAAAAATAAAATCTTTCACTCGTCTAAGGAGGTCATGCTGTCAAAAGAAAAAAGAAGTGTCTTCCCCTTCTCATGTCATCTTATTTAAAAAAAATAAAATATCTGAAGAACAAGAATGTTATTTTGTTGAAGCTGTGTATAGGTACTATTTTTTGCAAATGAAGAATCCTTAGTTGACCATTTGCCTGCTTCATTGCCACTTGGTTTGATGTGAATAATGACTATCAGTTTCAATACAAGAGAACCTGACTGTGATGGAGATATGACTGAAATACTGTTGCGGGTAAAATTCACGTATCAAAACACAAAGTGTAATTAGGAAACTTAATTGGTAGTCAAAATGTCCCTACTTCAGCATGGAGGACACTTTCGAAAATCAATTCAAATAATTGGTTTTGAAATGACTGCTTGGACTATATGGAGTGAAGAGTCTGTATTACTTGACAACATATCATACCTGACTACAGAATGCTGGGAGTATCAACAACCGGTAACACTTCATACATATGTACACATCAATAAATAGTAACCAAACCATGCAGTAACAACAGTGCCTATACCGTACTATAATAAATAGGAAGTGTTCAGTAGTGTTCATTCCTTCACACCCAGCCAGTGGCTGATAAAGGTGTATACTCTGTATACTACGGGCCTGACCATTGACACAGGATATTCCCCAGTGCTATGGGTGGTATATTGACAGAAAAAGCCTGCAGAGCTCTTTCACATCACTCACTGTATAATACTACTTGTGTTGATTGTGTTAATATCGTCCATATCTGGACCTGTAAGTGCCCCCCCCACCATATGATGAGCGATATGTTGCCCCTCCACCTCCGCTGCTGCTACTGCTACCAATGCTGTTGCTGCTGCCTCTGTCGGACCTCAAAGTTCCTCCTCCATAAGCTCGGGAGTATGCTGTTGACTGGGGTCCGAACCAGATCATGTTGCGTGTCTCTTCCTCCAACACATCCGGGATGTACCCGATTCCTGAGTGTATCATCTTTACTGACGTTGAGCCAGTCAGTCTACGTTCAAAGTCTATGAGTTGGCGCCAGAATCCGAAGTTTGGGTGTATCACTGAGCGGCGTGCTCGGACATGCCAGTATGCTTGTCTGAGTGACATATGGTGATGCTTCATGAGGTATGCAATACAAAGGCTGGCTGAGCGACTTACACCCGCAACGCAGTGTACAAGGGCACGACCACCCCGCCTTGCTATCTGGTCTATCTTGTCACTACATCGGTCGAAGTAGAGACTGAGACGTGCTGATGGTGTGTCGTCAACATGGATCTGTATACACTCAACATTGGCTACATTCAGGTTGGGAACATCCATGGTACAGTTGATGATGTGAGTGATTCCCAGACCAACAACGCGGTCACCCCGGACAGCTGCTGCACTTGACAAGAACAAGCTGTCGGTGATCTTAGCTATCTGATCAAACATGTGACGATCCATCTTCACTTAGCGGTTGGTCTGAAAGAAATGCACAAATATGAAATATTGCACATAAAAGCACATTCTCAGTCATATTTTCTTATCAATTTTTATGCTATGATGTATCAATATCCAAGAAAAACAAGGTATTATTCTGTTTAAAAGGAACTAATAAATCTAACTGCGTGCAATCCACTCTTAGCACCAAAAAGATATCCTGCAAGGTTTCATTACAATACCTCAGTCTGAGTGTTACCATATAACATGATATAGCATGGTATTGCATAATGTGCAAGTGGGTGTTCAGAGGTTTTGGATGCACTAATGTACTGAAAATAATTACCCTCCCCTAATGCTTCTCATATTTTTGGATAACCCTCCCCATGTCCTTTTACATTTTTTTCATGACACTCCCCGAAAATTAAAAAAAAACGCAAAAAATTATGTATTTTATAATGAAACGTCCATTTTGTTATGACCCTCCCCAAATATGTATATTATTTTTTTACCCTCCCTCCTAGAGACTGTGATATTTTGGGGTGACCTCCCCTGACTCCATGTGACACACACCTAACATTGGTAACAATGGCCAAAGTTAGATAAGGCGTTTAATTTTTTAATTTTTTTTACAGATTCGTCAATATGAAAAATAGCAAAATGAAAATAAATTAAAATAACTTTTCTGATATTTTTTAATACTATAAGAATAAATAAAAAACAAGTTATCTTGAAATATCACACAAATTAGTTTTATTGTGAAATACACTAAGTGTTTACCCCAAAGTTTGTAGACCAGTTAGAGTTACAGCCCTTCAATATGACATATCAGGTTGCGCAGTCGTTTACACATGAAAATCTGGTTGCGTAGTCGTTTTTTGCGCAAAATTGGCCATCATCATGTGCCTTGTGAGCGCGGTTGCCGCATGCCATTTAATATGGAACTTTTATTGTTGAGTAATGTTTATATCTAACTTTGGATGTTGATGAAATGCCTTGATTTTCAACTTTAAGGTTTAATCATATTAAACCAAACAAATGCAAGCGGAGTCCTTCTTTCTGCTTATCTTGAGCTTTGTCGCCCTATTTAAAAAGTAGTTGCGCTGTCACATGCTGATATAATAGCAGCATCAACAAGCATGGCAGATGGGTATTCTGGAGGTTTACCAAATATAGATGTATTTTGGAAATATTTTTGTTTTCAAAATAGAACTATTCATTCACGATAAACTGTATATGGTATAGCTGTAAAATAAGAATAACTGACTCTTCGTTTTTACTATTTGCTGTCATTTATGAAATTATTGTGTCTAAGAATACATCCATGTATGAAGATTTACATTTAATAAGTAGCCTCAAAAGTGTTTGGCACAGACAGTTGTTTGGTCATCTAGTTCGATAGTTTAAAGACCTGATATTGCAGGTTTCACTCCAGTTTTATACCATTATGTTATTAAATACAGACTTAAGAAAAACTGAAAAACATTGAACACGTTGAAGGAATTGCATTATATGAACCATTCTTCAATTCATTGTTCTGAGTGTAAATTGAGAACTGTGACTGAAATTATTGCTGAAAGCATGATAAAACACTATAAAGCAATATCTGCAAACTTGATATTTCTTCTTGGTTCGTGGGTACCATTTACGATAGGATTACATGCCATACGATACTGAAATCAAGATTTAAAAAGCACAAAATTGAAATATATACAGTAAACTACGGTTATAACGAACACGCTTATAACGAACTGACAGATATAACAAACTTACTTTTTTGTCCCTAAAATTTACTGTAATTATGCTGTATATATGCCTATAACGAACTAAGGTTATAACGAACTAAAATTAGTGGTCCCTTTGAGTTCGTTATAACCGTAGTTTACTGTATATATTTTTTTCCGACCATTGTAAGAGCAAACCAAACTTCATTAGACCAACTAAACAACATTAATCACCTAATGGTACCCATATGTATGAGAAATTATCTTGTACAGAAAAAGATAAGTACCTGTGTCCAACATGTAAAATATCCACTGATGATACAGACACTCAAAAACATTTTGTCAACATGGATATATTCAAAACTCTTTCTGCCCCCAAATTCAACAATTGATATATGGTATAGCATAGCTGCAATAGATAACAGTGACGTTTACATTGAACCAAGTGTAAACTCCTGTGTATTTGTAAATTTAATTGTCTTTTTCTGTACACTTTACCCCCTGATTGTCTTACAAATGGTAAACATGAGATTTTCATGCCTTATAACATATTCAAAATGCTAACCCCATAACATTGACATAAACATGATAAAGCATCAGAATATTTCAGTTTGCTGTCGCTGAAAACTATTCAGAAACTAGAAAATGCACTTACAGTCTTTATCATGGATTTGAGAGCAGACTCATTTCTGCCTTTTCACTAGTCTTGACCATGTTGACTTTCACTCATATTTTCACTTAGGCTCTTATCCTGTTCATTGAAGATATGATATATCAAGTTTGGTGATAACAACTTAAATACTTCCAGGAGAACATGTTACCATACACTTTGGAAAACAGGTTGTATCTGGAGACCTTGGACCTCAAGACTTATAAAATGCCTTTACTTCTAGTCCTTACCATTACCATTTTGAGAAATATTGTTGAAAAAATTGAATTTTTGAAAATAGTAAATTATCAGTTTCAGTAAAATTAGTGCATTAACATTGAGGACAAAGACAATCAAGATCGATGCGATGGTTAAACAAACATCAATCTACCTAGTATTGCTTATGGTTATTATCATACATAGTTTCAGCTCTCTATGCCCTGTCGTTCTTGAAAATAAGATTTTAAAACAGTTTATGAAATGTGACTTCTAAACACAAATCTGGAGCAGTCACAATGACCAAATCAAATATGTCATCCATAGAAGCATAATGTAAAATTTTAGCCTCATTGGTACAGCAGTTTCACAGGGAAGATGTTTACAGACCTGAGAATTACTTTCGAGAAAATTAGGTTTTTCAATATGGCTGCAATAGTCACATTCAAACCTCTTGAACAAATTCAGGTGCCATTATTGGTGAGAACAAGACTGTTCCAGCTTCATGGACCCAGTGATTTCTGAGGAGGGGATGCATTAGACAGGTCATGACATAAGTTCACATGACTTTCAGTCAGGTGAGCTAGAAAATAGCTTAATTCTGCACCTCAATTCATTAAATCAGAATCTCATGGTAGCATAACATAAACAACCAACCTATCAGCTCCACGAGCCTCTCAGTTTCTGAAAAAATGATGCCTAATTATTTTCTTTAGATGTTGAATATTTTCCAGTTCCATGCCACAGACAAATTCAAGTCACAGTATCCTCAAAAAGTTTTAACTTCCAAGACCATTTGCTTCCCCAAAAAGCAGTTTCTAAATAATTTCATTATTCAAATGTTTACCAATCACAATATGTTTTCTTCATTTTACAAAGAAAATAGACTAAAAAAAGGTTTTCTAAATGAACAAATCTAAATCCCCTCATGATGCTAGACATCATCCTGAAGTTTCATGTCCTGCCTTCAGCCCATCTTGAGACGAAGGGTAAACTTACTGGTATCAAAATTCATATTCAATACTGGGTTATATTCCACTGTTTAACAGTGATGAGATTGTTGGTGATATAGCAACACCAGATTCGGTGATTGATGTTATTGATAGACTGTAGATTCAGAGTCTTTTGATACTATTTAATAGTGAATACATCAGACCGTGGCAAAATAACATCAATAGCTTCATCAAGAAAACTGCAAATGATTATAACATTTTTCAACTGGTTAGGAAATCTAAGCAAACCGTAATTCCAAATACCAAACTCCTCGGTCAGTGAGGATGTGACTGAGTGCAAGGCCAAAATGGTCCACCGCTGTGATTTCATAACATAGTAATGCAATACCAACTGTGACTTTTTTACTGTGATGTCATAAGGCAAGTTGACACGTCAATATTTCTCAACAGCTTAACCTTTAGACCTATTTAACATTTTCACAAAATAAAGGCAATCATTCAACGTTTTCTTTTGAATTCATAAGCAAGTGTAAATGCAATATTTAGGTGGTGTACCATTACATAAAACATGCGTATAGTCGACGAAGTCATCTATATCCCCCGCCATTTTAACACGTTATGGTCCCAAACCAGGTAACTGACCCAACATTTCTCTTACATGTCTTAGGCCATGTCAAAATAGCTGCAATGGAAATTCTAAAATAAACATTTATAAAACTCCTAAATGGCAAAAGGCACCAGTTCAGTATGTGCCTAGTAGACATGCAAAGTTTTGTAAGAAAGTATTTAATGTTTTTTTAGTTACGCTCCGGAAACGAACAGCACCCTTATAGAACCTAAGTCCAACTTGGTGCCATGAAAACGTGAAAAATAAAAATTTATAAAATTCCTAAATAGCAAAAGGCACCAGTTCAGTATGTGTCTGGTAAACATGCAAAGTTTTGTAAGAAATTATTTAACGGTTTTTGAGTTACGCTCCGGAAACGAACAGCACCCTTATAGAACCTAAGTCCAACTTGTTGCCATGGAAATGTAAAAAATAAAAATTTATAAAATTCCTAAATAGCAAAAGGCACCAGTTCAGCATGAGTCTGATAGACATGCAAAGTTTCGTAGAGAAATATTTAACGGTTTCTGAGTTATGCTCCGGAAACGATTTCAGGACGCAAACACGCACTAACGCACACACGCACGGACGGAACCCATTTCTATATCCCCCGCCAACTACGTTTGGGCAGGGGATAATTATCTATGCTGCAAAAGGTTCTTTTAAAATAAAGAAATGCAGTTTGATATTTCTGAATTTCCTTACAATTTCAAATTAATTTATAATGTGAAGTTTACACAATACACAGCTTTGTCATCGAACAAGAGGCCACATTTTGACGTTCTCATGAGCATGATGAGACTGTATTCTTGAAAAGACATCAACACTGACTGACTGTTTCCACATTCCTGGGAATTGCCTACTACAAACAAATTTAGAAGCATTGTTTGAGATCATTTAGACCCTTTAATCTTGAACTCAGTGTTTTAGTCAGAGAGTTTAACTACATGCAACCAGTCCTTGTTTTAGCCTCTTTATGCCGAAAGCCAGGGTGGACAACAACAAGTACCATCTTTTAACATCTTTTGGTATGATGCAGCCATGAGATCGAACACTGACCTCCCACTCCTTGTGCAAACGCTCGAATAATTAATGCTGATAATGCTAGCAAACATATTTACAAATCAGTTCAGAGGATAACATGATAAAAGGTGTTCAAATATAAGGAGACCCTTAAACAAAACTGTGGCTAAATCCCTGAGTTTATCTGCTGTAGTAGTGCCTTTGCACCACTCTGGAATTATTAATGACAATAACAAAGGCCTTCTGCCTGAGCTGTCTGTCTCAGTGAACTGAATAACCTACTACACATATCCAGTACACAACAATCAATCTCAAACATCATGCATGCTGTACACTTGTCTAGTGGGAAACACTCACCTAGCTACAACAGTCTGTTGACACAAGCTGGCCAATGTATCTCATCTACAGCACAAGCCTGATCTCTAAGAAACAAGTCTGTCAGTGGGTAGTTCAATGTGATCATAGCTATGTGACAAGGTTTCCTATATCTGTCAACACAAGCAGTGATACCAGCTATACAATGCTGTTCAACATGACTACACCAAGTACTGGCATGGCAAATTGGAGCCATGCCACAGGCCACACAAGTGAGTCACCCCTCACTGTACCTGTATAACACATTGAAATAACAACACAGTTACCGTTAATGGCCACAAAGGACCTGTTGCTGCAAGAGTATAATGTTGACCTGGACTCTACTAACTACAATATGTACAAACACCAGTGATCATGGGCACTGGCAGCATGCCAGTGTCACTAATTACTCCATGTACCGAGTCTAACTAACTCAGTAACTGAACTCTCTCAATAACCAACATGAACTAACTGCCTGACACCTGTGTGAGTTTTGTACTGTGGAGGTCAAACAGTGCCTCCTATGTAGTACTGCTTCCTAGTACACACCTCCCGCTCAGCTCACCACTGCAGCTGCTAACTCACCACCAGATGCTGGGCAGGGCAAATCAATAGGATGCAACTGATACTTAATCATGAAAACATTGAAACTTCCACACACTGCCATAGTGATCACGGCACAGTTCATGTGGGACATGGAATATGGGAGCACTGCTAACACACAACTCCAGTTGCCATAGCAGTGTATCTGACTCAAATTTCAAGCAAAATAGCTTACTTTGCAAGTTTCCCTATCAAGCATGCAAGCTTAGTACTGGCCAGCTTCAGGTGTATTTTAAACAGTGGAATCTGTGCAAGAGGCACAACATGTAGGGCTGAGGAAGTATGTGGGAGGGGCATTGAGGAACAGGAAGAGTTAGCACTGCAGGGAAATGCCAGCATGGCATAGATGGCTTACCACACATTCCATATGCAGTGAATGTTGAATGTTGAGCATGAACAGCATCATACATCACATACATAGTTTAACACAGATACCCACTAATATATTCCCCAGGTCCTAGCACACTACACACAACTGAGGCATGGTTTGTCATTCAGCCAACTGAGGAGGCAGGGAACTGTTGTAGCACGAGGAATCCTACAGCATGCCTCCTTGGCAGTATTTCCACACATCTCATGCTGTCTCTCGACAAATGTATCAGCAATAAAAGAAATAATCTTATTTAGTATCATCACAAGCAGATATGACACGAACTGGAAATTACACCCCAAAATAGGATCTCATGACAATGGTCACAACAGAATTAAATCTGGGTAACAAATGAAAGAATGGTAAGAAAATTACCTTTGGCAAACTTTGATCTTATATCTTACTTGTTGAAATAATAATTACTATGCTTGCTGAATATTGACAAAAGAGGTGCTAATAAGAACCATACACAAATTACAATGATGTCAGAGATCAAGCAGGAGGATTCAAACTTACTTCAAATGTTGATGAAACTAAAACTTTGGCAGATGTAGGGATACCAGACAAGGAGATTAAAAGTCTTAATAATAGCATTTCCAAATTCCCATTACTGTAAATACAGTAAGCATTTTTAAAATGTTTTAATAAATATTGTAGTTTGTGATTTTCTCACATTAAAACCAAAAAAAAGCAATAACATTGACATATTTTCACAAGGCTCGAAAAATCCACTCTGCTCATATTGCCGAATGACAGCAAAAACACTCGTACTACAGGGCAAGTACATTTATTTCAATCATATCATTTCATCTCTAATTGATTTCAATTAAATATTCAGGATAATTTCGAACAGAAAATATGTTTTCATATCTCAGAAGTTCATTGTACTTAATAATACCGAAATACATGTCGCTTATATCATTATATAGATGGCATACTTTGCAACTGTCAGAAGAAATAAACAAAAAGTGTGGTCTCGAAACTATTTTTTATGGGGAGGCAGTTACCATATATTTCTTATTTTTGTTGTACCGTATCGAAAGTAGTAACATGCATAACATTTTTTTAATAATGACAACATTGGTGTATAATAATAACTTTATTGATAATTTATAACAATAATGGCTCTAGTCGTGGCAACCTCCAAACTTTCGGGAAGTTGTAATCTATCGGACCGTCATTTTTCTGACAGATCGCGATCTGAAAAACACTATCATGAAAGTGTATCCCGTGGATAAGCCGACCCCTTTCTACAGAATCTTTTTTCTGGTCCTCAAAATTCGGCTTATATGCGGTCATATATGGTAAGCGACTCCATACTGGTTCTCAAAAGTCAAAGCAAAAGTGTTTGATTTTGTGAGAGTAATGGCTGTTTTTAATCAGGAATGGTGAGGTTGACGAGAATAAACATGATTTCATTACCAAACAAACAAAATATGAATTTATTTATAAAAAAACCAGTATGACTATAAAACAAAAATGAAATGTTCATGCCTGAGTGACTTTGGAAAGCCGGAAATAAGTGTAGATGGCAGTGACTGAATTAATTTTGTACTGTCTATCAGCTGGTCTATCAATAATGTCCTCAACTCGAAGCCTGTCAAAGGTTAATTACAGAAACAGGTAATAATAACTGAGAACATAAAACTATAAAATGCAATAGGGACAAAGTGAAAATATTGCAGAACGAGTACAAAATAATATCTACTGGCTCTGCATGACAAATTGGGTGAAGAAATGTTTCAGTCCCTGGTTTCACCTTTGCTACCATGCACTCCTGGTTATTCAGGAAACTATGCCCCACATCATTACTTCAGTGATTGTTTATAACAAAGATCTATATAAAAATGAAAAAACAACAACATTGATTATAGCCGACTGGTTACTACATGATTTCCCTGAAAATGAAATAAAGTATATTTAATTAGATGTTGAAAAAAATGAGTGTGGAAAGGAAATGGATCATAAATACTAAAACAGATACACTGTTCACCATTTAATAAAAAACAAGAAAACAGTGTTATCACTATCACCCGCCATGGGGGAAATATGAATTTTTGTTTGTTCACAGTAGTGTTATAAGAACAAAACTTACGGCATTAATCTTTTAGCTTAGCCTTGACAAGTATCCCTTAGATAAGCATAATTTCTTAAGTTTCTGAGAAAACTTGTCCCCACTACAGCCACTATACATTAAGTAAAACAAGGAAACTAAAACAAAATATATTTGAGTTTAAGTCCAGATTGTTGCCAAGGAAACACACAATATTTATTTAGAAATACCAAAACATCAAAAGGCAATTATAAAATATTAAGCAGTTTCCGAGTTAAGCAACTTTACTATTATTCTGACAGCCAAAACATTTAATAATTACAATTAAAAGTATGTTAAGACATACAACACATTGCTAGTAGTTTTAATCAATGTTAATCTTAGACAATATTTCAGTAATCACCAGTTCAACATGATCGAGACAACAAACTCTATGACTATATTTAACATCAGGTAATCATCCATCATCCTCTTCACATGCTACAGGTACTCTTGGCATACTCTTAGAGCGTTCACTGTTAAGTATAGCTGCAGAATAGGCCAGATTATAAAAATGTATTCACCCCTTCAAAGTACCTCAGGCTAATGTGAAAGACAATTTGCCACACAACCTAATGTGAAAGACAATTTGTCACACAACGTATCGCCAGTCGCTGATTGCTGAGTGCGGCGTAAAACAAGCTGGTTTTTGCGTGTGCAGTTTCAGGCAAGAGTACCCATTAGTTTTAGAGAAATGGTCCAGACAAACACACCACTATGAACAAAGTCAAACTTGTTGCAAAAGGTAGCAAAAGGCACCAATTCAGCCCTTGATTATTTACATGAACCAAGTTTGGATGAAAAATGTTGAATAGTTTTTAACATGTTTTAAGTTCTGAAATTTTTTGAAAAATTCCTAAATAGCAAAAGGCATCCCTTCAGCTCTTAATTAAAATATGTACCAGGTTTGAATGAAAAGTCTTTCACAGCACGACCCCCATCCCCCTTTTGAGACTAAGTCCAAATAGTTTCCATGGAAATCAAGAAAAATATAAATGACAAACATCTGTAAGTAGTAAAAGGCGTCACTTCCCGATCTGTTTAATATATACCCCCGGTATGCCAATTTTTGTTGAAAAATATTGAATTGTTTTTTAGTTACGCTCCGGAAACAAAATGATTACGGATTGGTGGACGGACGGACAGACAGACGAGGTGTTGACTATATCCCCCAGCATTATATGTGAACGTGTGTTGAATTCCACAATTAACTAAACAAATACACATTTTCATTACATTAATGATGGAGTAATGACATCATTAGCCATCATTAGCTTTTCAACCTGTCTGCTGAAAATTGGAATCAAACTTTTTGAATATACGGAAGCCTTTTAGCATGTTTAGGGCCATTTTTTTTTTTCTTTTTTTCGATACTATCTAGAAATTTCAACTTATTATCTTGAAATTTCAAGATAGTATCTTGAAATTTCAACTTAGTATCTTGAAATTCCAAGATACAGAAGTTGAAATTTCAAGATAGTATCAGCCTTTACTGGTCAAGTCGTTTGTAAGGATATTATGCTTACAGCGCGAGAAATGTGTCTGTGCATGTCTCCTCGTACTAGTCCAGACTTATTTGACATTTTGATAGTACTTGCAAACGGAGATACCATGCCGCAGTTAAACATGGATGTGATGCAGCCAGGGAATGGAACAACCAGCCTTCCCCTCTGTGGGCAGACAGCACTACACTATGGTACCTGTGAAGATCCAGGAAAGAATAGGTCTTCAGCAACCCATGCTTGACGTAAGAGGCACCTATGCTTGTGGTAGAGGAGACAATCAGGATTGGGTGGTTAGACTCGCTGACTTCGTTGAAGCATGTCATCGTATTCCAATTGCTTTTCGGACGGATATTTTATCTTGATTACTCGCGCTATAGTCTTTTAAAGATAAATGAGATGTTTTACAGTTGTTCATGTGATTAGAGAGAAAACTATGATTGTTTCTTAAGTGTCTAAAAACCCATAACATGGTGAGGTGAGGTGAAATGGGGTTTAACGTCACGTCCAAGATTATTGCACTTATATAGCGACGTGCATGCACGTGTGTGTGTTTGTGTGGCTGCTTGTACTAGTCCAGACTGATGCCGATTTATAGTGCTACCTCACTGAGATACCATGCCGCAGTTTTACATGAATACCCAACTCAGACATAGTATACTGACTCCGAGCCGACCAGTCCTTGTTTTAGCCCCTAAATGCCAAGCGCCAGACAGGGTAACAACAAGTACCATCTTTAAACGTCTTTTGGTATGACGTGGTCGGGGATCGAACCCCGGACCTTCCACTCTCCGGGCAGACGCTCTACCACTAGACCATGGAGGCGGTCCCATAACATGGAGATCTATATATACATACACAGCTGGGTCAGACTAAGGCTCAAGCTTTCTCTGAAACCCAGATATATCTCAACACTTGCTATATTATATGTATGAAGCTAACTAGATTGTCATCGTACAGACCCAACCAATGACGCATGCAAAATACATGGGTTTAAATACTTAGAAGTCTATCCATGACCTTGCCAACATTGTACCACGACAATATATGTCCGTGATGGTACGGACTACTGTGCCTGCGTTACATTTGGGTGTTGCTTCACAGTAAAGGTGTTCTACAAGCATCAAAATGGAAAGATTCAAGTACACACTTTAAAGTGGCATGCATATAACTGCCGTGTAACAGTTGCTTCTGTGGACATATATTCAGTATTAATACACCATTTTACTGGTAATGAAATACTTTTTGATGCCTGCAGAAAATAGCTTCTGCTGCAGCAGCGGGACTGCCTCACTGTCAGCCAACGGCTTGATTCATCCAGCCTAGCCTACTAGCAAGTCGCTGTTTCAAGCATTGTGCACTATTTCTCTTATATCTCTATATGACAGGTGTAAAACAATATTTCGGTAAAGTACCTGCTCAAGCTTGCCCTCTCCCTTGACGACAAAACATTTGTTGAGTTGTTATCCTGACATGTCCTACTTTGTCAGACTAACTAATATTGACGCTTATCTCCCTTTATTGTCGTTTTTCCAAGCTCCTTCCCAGCGCGTGACACCTTCGTTACACTCTCGGTATAGAGAGCTCCGCGAACGGGCTATCGCTGTGAGGAGCTTGTCGTTTTTCCACTAGGGTTTAACGGTAGACTGGTTCCCGGATCCTCCGCCTGGTGTCGCTGCTCCTGCTCCGCTTTCCAGTCTGTCGCAAGAACGAACGGGAACCAGTCTATTGCTGGCGCGGCTGTCTTCGGCTGCGTTTCATTGCTGTAGTCCTCTCAAAACGTGAACTAAATTGTTAGCCTTATTTATATAGGTAAGGATAAGAATTTATGGATGAACAACTTCTTTATACTGTCATATCACTTGCTTGATAACGGTGTTAGAACGTACACCGAAACGTCGCTCGTAATTGTAATAAAGAAGTTGTTGAGTTCATCTACAATCCTTATCCTCACTTAGTACTCCAACTTCTTAAATGCCTGTCAAAGAAGTTATCTGTATAAATCTATAGTCATGCACATACTATTGCATGTACAAATGTACCATTGTGTGTATAGTATACGACGTACGTTACGTCATAGTGAGTGCTGATGTGGCAACTACTGATGAAAGAAATTATATATATATATATTATCATAATTAATTTTATCAAAATCATATTCCTATAAAGTCAATTTGGAAAGACGCAATGTTTCCTGATAACATCCACAGACAATTACGAACTGGGAATGATATATAATTAGACCTTTCCTTTCTGTCTTTAACTTTAAGAAAATGAAAGTAATAATTTTTAAGTGACAAGGGGCGTCAATGGGCGCTGTAACATGTTCTCGTGTCACCTACCCGTGGAATCAGCGTCCACTTTTCAGTATCTAGTTAGGTATACCATTCAGTTGATATCATGTCGGTTACAAATTACAAATCGATGCAAGCAAAACAAACCGAGTAATCAGCCAAAGTGAAATAGCCACCACATGGGTCATGTTTAATTACATCAAACAATGCGAGCATCTTCACATTACATTACAGTATAGGGTTCTTAGACAATTGTTTTGAATGTACCTCTATACAAGAGGGGGAATCTACCCATATACAAACAAGTTTTAATGTCCCTCTATTCAAGAACAAGGACAATATCCGATCGTGACTCCATGTCATTCAATTTTATTGAACAAACTCTTTTCAAATTCAAAAGTACAATACCAATGTAAAAATACCAAAACATCATAAAATACAAATGTGGAGACAAATGTGTCTTATAAATGTGGAAGCCTCTCACAACTGTAGCAGTCTTAAACAGTCAAGATCATCCATGTAATACTGTCACGTTCTAGATGTTTCGAAACGTCTGCTCAGGGGTAAATCATTCGAAATTGATTTCTTACATGGGATGAAAAATGAGAATTCAACTTGTCTCAAAGTGATTGAAAAAGCATCTTTTTAAGCATTTTAGCCAGTGATGGTTAAGGAGTTGTACAAATTCATAAAAGCAAACAGCTTGTTAGTAAATTGTACATATTGTTTTCATCAAAATACGGCACGCTGTCAGTTTGTCAATCTCATGTAATTTTTTAATTTGAAGCTTACACGATATACGGCTTTTCCATTGTACGATAGGTCGGTCACATGGGTTATAGCGAAAACGGCACCTCAGCAAAACGTCACCGGGCGAAAACGGCACCTCGACTCAAGCGAAAACGGCTACCATTGCCTGGCGAAACCGGCACCTTATTTTTTTACACCTTGGTCAAATAATTAAGAATTGACCTTCACTTTGTGTGAGTTCATTGGAGTATGAAGGTTCATACTCCAATGAACTCACACAAAGTGAAGGTCAATTTTTATAATTTTTTATCACAATTTCTTACCTCAAAGGATGTAGGTCAAGATCTAAACACAATTTTATTTAGTACGTGTGACTTCATGTTTACACTGACAGCCATACAACAACCAGCTACATCGCGGAGTAAAATAGTTCCTCAAAAAGAGAGGTGACATGGGCGTATGGATGCACAACTTGTTCTTCAGAAACATCTTACGCAGCACATGTGTTCAAATCATATCCTCATTAGATGAGAAAGGTCTGTAAGAACTACCTCAGTAAGTCAGTCACAATGACAGCGCGTCGTAATACATTAATGAACGACACAATTTGACCATATGTTTTTCACGAGACCGTGTTCTTGAATAACGTAAACACTGACGGACTACTTCCACATTCCTGGGGAAACCCCTGGGAATTCCCTACCACGAAAACATACATACGTTCTTTCTGACCATTTAGAACCTTTATTCTTGGTCTCAGCGTTTCAGTATACGTTGAGAAATGTCAGAGAGCGTGACTGCATGATTGTTCACGAATATCCTCGCTGCGGCCTATCCTAGTGAACAAACGAAGAAATGCACATCTAAACTATCGTAGTATCGACTTGATCCGTGTCTAGGCTGACACTGACCGTCTCCAGCAATCTATGAATTTACCTTAGTGTCTGTTTGAAGCATCTTTATTCACATTTCAATGATCGGCCAGTTGATCAATGATGACTAACACATGTAACCGCCACAGGTTCATTAACAACTTCGGAAATCCTCCCGTCACGTTTATCGTGTCGGCCATTTTGACGTCTTGTACTTGATGTAAATGTATTACGACGCGCTGTCATTGTGACTGACTTACTGAGATAGTTCTTTACATACCTTTCTCATCTAATGAGGATATGATTTGAACACATGTGCTGCGTAAGATGTTTCTGAAGAACAAGTTGTGCATCCATACGCCCATGTCACCTCTCTTTTTGAGGAACTATTTTACCCCGCGATATAGCTGGTTGTTGTTTGGCTGTCAGTGTAAACCTAAACGCACGTACTAAATAAAATTGTGTTTAGATCTTGGCCTACATCCTTTGAGGTAAGAAATTGTGATAAAAAAATTATAAGAAGCTCCGACGTTCACACAGTTTGGCTCTCATCTATGAAGGTTCATACACCAATGAACTCACACAAAGTGAAGGTCAATTCTTTAATCTTAGCTCTCGCTACCGGTTAACCTTTACTTCTATGTATTTCCCTGACTAAAGATCTATATAAGTTATTTATTGGCTTAACCATTTCAGGTCACCATGCTGGAGTTGTGAATTTTGCATGACGTAGTCTTTGTCATATATTTCGTCCAACAAATATCCTTGACGTAACTAGACTTGTTGTTTCACAATCCCGGTTGCCAATTATAACAAATACAAACAAGTGTAATTTGACGTTCGTGGTTAAAACGAAAGAGAATAAAATTAATGTTCTGCACTAACATCATGAGCGAAACTCTAGCACAAGAACGTTTGATTAAAACAGATCGCTTAAACACAACCATGATTGGTATAAGAGAGAGAGCCCAATGAAAACATGAATACTGACTACGCATGTGCGACCTTTTAGACCGGAAACAGACAAAATGCCACTGACAGAAAGTTGCAGTCTCAGATTGTGGCATTTCCTGGATTCGTTTTGGATGTATTTTGTGTCAGTTGACAGTTGAAGAGTCATTCAAACGTAAAGGAATAATGTGTAACGTGGAACAGGTAAACAATCCGGCCTAGTACGCCACTATGGTTGACAATTTGTCATGTTATTGTGGCAGGGATACCATCAACGTCAAATTTAGTGGATTTCCCCTGTTCTATATATAGAAGTAGCACCAGCATTTGGGTTGACGAATACCCAAAGCAGTCGTCAAACTACGTTAACGAATGCTCAGTTAACAGCAGTTGTAATCGGCTTCACAGTTGTTACAGAACAACCCTGTTTCAATTACCCCCTACGCCACGTACGCCTGATATACATGTGTTTTTCTACCAGCTCTACCCCAGGGGTAGTACCTGCAGGTGTGTTTCTCGACCAGTTCTACCCCAGGGGTAGTACCTGCAGGTGTGTTTCTCGACCAGTTCTACCCTGGGGATAGATCCTGCAGGTGCGTGTTTCTCTACCAGTTCTACCCTGGGGATAGATCCTGCAGGTGTGTGTTTTTCTACCAGCTCTACCCCGGGGATAGATCCTGCAGGTGCGTGTTTCTCTACCAGTTCTACTCCGGGGGTAGAACCTGCAGGTGTGTGTTTCTGAAACAGTTCTACCCCAGGGGTAGCACCTGCAGGTGTGTGTACATGTTTATCCACAATAAATTGTGTCTCAATACGTTGTATCATAATGCATGTAGTGTATCATAGATGTGTAAAAGGATAAATTTGCTGACTTGGCTTGACACAGAAAGGACCTGTGACATGTCCAAGTGCTTGGTGACTTTGTCTCTGGAGTGTATTTTCTTTGATCTAGGCTTTCTCAGATATTTGGCCCATGTCTACAACAAATTCCTTATTGGGAATTGAAATATTCCCAATTTAGTTTGTTGATATATTGACACACTCAAACATGACATTTTGACTTATAAGTGATAACAGGACACATAAAGAGAAAAAAGGTTAAACACTAGTTTTACATTATTGCAGGGGATGCAATGCTAACATATCTTGGCATAAAGGATATACAGCATTGTCCTACAATGTCCACCATGTCCATAGTTGGACAAATAACCACTTTTTCACTTAGTTGAAAAATACAGATAAATAACTGGATTCATGTGATATCTCTCTTCTCAATGGTTCTTGATCATGTGGATATGAATTGTTTTCCAGAGTTGATGCTGCAGACCCTTGTCTGACATTCCTGAGCATGGCAGGTGTGTTTCATGTAGAGTTTGGCTTCAATGACACCGACCTAACCCGAAGTCTGGAACAGGGGAACTACGCCAGTGCTGAGAGGCTTATCTTGGACAATGTCAATCCATCCTACCTTGATGAAGGTGAGGGAGCCTTGTTTGGCAGATCTGTCCAAACTTTCTGGCATTGTATCAAACCAACTTATATTTGGCTCACCATGACATTGTTATGACTGTAGAATATAACATAGTAGTCATTATTATTGGACAGAATATTCTTTTATACCATATTTTCTTGAGTATAGTGCACACTTTTTAAAAAAAAACCACAGCTGTGTAGAAGGGGGTGCGCATTATACACGAATTAATGAGTTTTGATGTTTTTTCCCCCATGGAAAGACATTACCGTGAGCACGTAACACCGGAAATACCATGTCAACAAATCCATACTGAAGTTCGCAAATTATTCATGTAATTATTCTGGCTATAAAAAGTGTTCTTTGTATATCTGGGCTTATGTTTGTGACTTATTTCATTAATTTTATTCAAAATTCCTTTTAATATTGTTTTAATTAATTTCGGCGAAATCGTGTGTGAAGCGATCGGAAGATCGCACAACTCACTGTTATTAACAGCAACCACGGTCAGATTACTGCTATTGACACCTTGAAACGAACTTTAGTTGACAGAGAATGGATACATATATCATAAATGCCATACTTTGATTCGTTAAAAGTCATATTTGTTTTTGTTGGACGATTCTATGTCAACACGTTATTCTCACGATCACGTGCACGGGAGCCTTGACGGTAACTGGTCAGACTGGATCCATGTAAAAAATAATACCTGGCAATAGCGATCAGCTGCTTCGCTTAGGGTTATTATTATTTTAAATATGTTTAGTAAAAGCTGCATCTAAATTAACAAGATATTGGAATATATTATTCCTGATAAAAAAATAGTTTCAGATACAACTTTTGCCGATCCTTGCATTAAAATCCTGTAAAGTTATAGCATTGGGTGTGTTTAGACCGAATCACCGGTAGATTCCAAGAAAACGTGTGTACAGCTGATTGTTGTGTCCGGCTTAGTTTACGAGAAAATACACACCGTAATCTTAATCCCTGGATGTAAAACAATGCCTAGCTGAACAAAAAATACAATTTAAATGGTAAATCATCATGTCTGGTGATTTTTTATCTCAAATAACGAATTTGTACTGACGAAGTTTCTCATCACCCGTTCGTTTGCCGGACTTAGCTGAATGGGTACGGTGTAATTTTTTTCTGCGCATAATAATCAAATTTCTTTTTTTCCAAAATATTGAACCCGCTAGAGGGGGGTGCCCATTATACATGGGTGCGCACTATACTCAAGAAAATACGGTAATCATATACTGAACAACAAAAGTTCCTGTGACATTGAATAAGATTTAATGCAAAGTTATGTTTTTACCAAATCTGAAACAATTTCGGTTATCAACAGGTAAAAGACTCCTGTAAGTGTTCAAATGGTTTAATTTGCCATACTGACTTCAGAAAATGCGCGGTTTCATAAAAAAACATGAACATGCCAAAATGTCAATTTACAAGTCAATAGCGTGTGTGTCCATCTCTGGTTGCGATGCAAGCAACACATCTTAGTCTCATTGAATGGACCAGGCGTCCTGTGGGATATCTGTCCATATCTGCTGAAGCAGGTTTTGAAGTTCCTGGATTGTCTGTGGAACACGTGGTTGACGTCGAAGGCGCCGATCCATCTCATCCCACATGTGCTTGATTGGTGAGAGATCAGGGGAGTGAGCCGGCCAGGGGATGACATTCACATTGTTATGTTGAAGAGAATCCTGAACAAATTGAGCAATATGAGGCCGGGCATTGTCATGCTGAAAGGTAATGCCTGGGCCATGACGACGCAAAAACGGTAGAACAACAGGGCCGATGATCTCGTCGCGGTAGCGCTGTCAATTGAGATTTCCCTCTACCACTATCAAACAGGTCGTCTGTTTTGCTGTAGGTCCACCCCATACCTCGAAGTCGGTACACTTGAATCCGTCCATCGCTGTGGCTGAGGTGAAAACGAGATTGTTAGTGAATAGAACTTGTCCCCATTGCATGTCCGTCCAGCATAGACGCTGTCTGCACCACTGTAGACGTGCTTGACGGTGGTTTCCTGTCAAAATGGGACGTCTGGCGGGTCTTCTGGCAACAATCCCTGCACATCTGAGGCGACGATGTAAGATAATCGTCGAAGGCCAGGGATGCTTCTTGCAGTCACTGTTGCTGGCTGGAATCGATTTCGTAGGTGTGTTGTTCGAATCCAGTTGTCTTGTCTATTATTGGTTACGCGTGGCCTGCCACTCCGTGGATGCTATCTGACTGCATTTGTCTGTTGCCAACGTGGCCATAACACCAAATGGTGTTTCTGTGGACGTTAATTGTCTTGCAACATCACATTGACTCGATCCTGCTTCAAGCATACCAATGGCTCGCAGACGCTCATTTTAGGACAGGGATGGCATTTTGTAATGTTGAATAATTTAGTTTTTTTTCTGAGTGGTTGTTGTCAGCACGATGCTAAACAATGTATATGGAATCCAGTTAATGCACATGTTTTTATACCCATTCTTGGGTAGTGAAATGCATGGGGCTTGCATAAAAGTAATCTTTTGCATGGAATGTATGCTTTTCTGTAGCAGTTGCGTTTTTGTGACTTGACTCCATACATGTACTTCAATATTGAAAACCAAACTTTACTTGTTTGAAAAATACACTAAAATATTGGTGTCACAGGAACTTTTGTTGTTGAGTATAGATGTCAGGGATATATGACTGTGGAAATATGATTTAGGAGTCATAAGTCTTTTTTCCACATGTGTAATGAAATTGAGGCCTATCAGTATCAATCAAAGAATACCTTAAAATTTGGTGAGTAAAACAGTTTTATAAGCGATAAGAAAGACATGGATTACTGTTATTTGGTATTATGTCTTTTGTTTAGGATAACAGTTTTGTCACATCCTCACACCTTACATATTAGGTCAGCTTGTGCAGCTCAGGTACTCTAGTTCATATAGGGTATTACAAGTTGCATATTAGTAGTCACAAACTGTTAAGGTATTATCAGTGGTGATATCTTGTACTCCAGTACTGAATATCACAATGCCTTTTGACAGAAATATATCTTCATGTCACTTGATCTTGGTCAGATTATTTTGCTAGATTCACACATTTGTATAAGTGTTGTCATCAGCAACTACTGACTGATTTACCTCTCTCTGTTCCATATATCTTCTACAAATGACAACCATGGTAAGCCTGTAATTTCTTTGAAAAACTTACCTCTATTACATCATAGCCATAATTTCCTGTTTTGGCTGTCATCACACAATAAAATCTTTCAGATTTTAAACAGATGTCCTCTTCACTGCCAGCTTATCTAATTAGTTGTGAGGTAAAGACTATCCTCAATACCCAAGGCGTGAAAACAGGTCTTTTTCATATGTGTCCTGATGTCAACATAAATAAATAAATATTTGATCACTACTCAGCACAAGTTTGGATACGTTTTCATGCAATAAAGTCAAGATCTTGTAAAGATAAAGATACAGACAGGCTGCCTTGCAGATGCAAGAACACGAGAGGGTATTGAAGAATGTAAACTGATATTAGTAAACTGAGGTATCGTGGAAGATGCCATGCATGGGACTACCCCAACACTGAGGTATCGTGGAAGATGCCATGCATGGGGCTACCCCAACACTGAGGTATCGTGGAAGATGCCATGCATGGGACTACCCCAACACTGAGGTGTCTTGTAAGATGCCATGCATGGGGCTACCCCAACACTGAGGTATCTTGGAAGATGCCATGCATGGGACTACCCCAACATGGGGACTACCCCAACACTGAGGTATCTTGGAAGATGCCATGCATTGGACTGCCCCAACACTGAGGTACCTAGGAAGATGCCATGCATGGGACTACCCCAACACTGAGGTATCTTGGAAGATGCCATGCATGGGACTACCCCAACACTGTGGGACTACCCCAACACTGAGGTATCTTGGAAGATGCCATGCATGGGACTACCCCAACACTAAGGAATCTAGGAAGATGCCATGCATGGGACTACCCCAACACTGAGGTATCTTGGAAGATGCCATGCATGGGACTACCCCAACACTGAGGTAGATATCTTGGAAGATGCCATGCATGGGACTACCCCAACACCGTGGTATCTTGGAAGATGCCATGCATGGGACAACCCCAACACTGAGGGACTACCCCAACACTGAGGTATCTTGGAAGATGCCATGCGTAGGACTACCCCAACACTGAGGAATCTAGGAAGATGCCATGCATGGGACTACCCCAACACTGAGGTATCTTGGAAGATGCCATACGTGGGACTACCCCAACACTAAGGAATCTAGGAAGATGCCATGCATGGGACTACCCAGACGCTAAGGAATCTAGGATGATGCCATGCATGGGACTACCCCAACACTGAGGTATCTAGGAAGATGCCATGCATGGGACTACCCCAACACTAAGGGACTACCCCAACACTGAGGAATCTAGGAAGATGCCATGCATGGGACTACCCCAACACTAAGGAATCTAGAAAGATGCCATGCATGGGACTACCCAAACACTGAGGTGTCTTGTAAGATGCAATGCATTGGACTGCCCCAACACTGAGGTGTCTTGTAAGATGCCATGCATTGGACTGCCCCAACGCTGAGGTGTCTTGTAAGATGCCATGCATGGGACTACCCCAACACTGAGGTATCTTGGAAGATGCCATGTATGGGATTACCCCAACACTGAGGGACTACCCCAACACTGAGGTATCTTGGAAGATGCCATGCATGGGACTACCTCGACTCTGAGGTATCTTGGAATATGCCATGCATGGGACTACCCCAATAATGAGGTATCTTGGAAGATGCCATTCATGGGACTACCCCAACACTGAGGTATCTTGGAAGATGCCATGCATGGGACTACCCAAACACTGAGGTATCTTGGAAGATGCCATGCATGGGACTACCCCAACACTGAGGTATCTTGTAGGATGCCATGCATGGGATTACCCAAACACTGAGGTATCTTGGAAGATGCCATGCATGGGACTACCTC